CCCCAAAACCCCAAAACCCCAAAACCCCTGCTTTTGCATTAGATATTGAAATCTCTAAAGTTTAATTTATCTAAAAATTAAAAATTGTTTTTGAACAAATCAAGCTTTTGTCAGAAAGATGAAGAGTAATCAGAATCAGATTCGTTCAGCCTTTCTGTAATGTTGTACGTCCTTACATTTTTTGAGATTTTCTTCTTAAAAACAGGTACATATAGAGGAATATATGCAGAATTAATATCATTTCTACTAATATCTCTAACACTCCTGTGAGCTTTTTGACTTTGGTTTTCTCTCAGTTTCCTATTTTCTATCTCTCTGGTCCATTTCTCAAACTCAAGGTCTGTCAAATTAAGTTTTGATTCATCAGTTTTATAATTTCTAAAAATTGACTTAAATTTTACCTTTTTACTATTTTTTCTTTCTTTTTCCTAAGAATCCTTTGACGTTTGAGAAATTGCTTATTGCCTAAAGATCGCTCCTTATCTCCTTTCATGTTTACTAATTCATATATTTTTGGTTTGTTGCTGACTTTTGGATTCAGAATTATTTTGATTTTAGGAGTAGCTATTTTCCGACTCTTAGTTTTCTCCTCAGATTTAGCCTTTTTCTTTGTAATTATTGGCTTTTTATAGATGTTGAGAATACTTTTGACACACCTATTTTTCACAATCCCATATTTTGTTGTCTTTGAACAAGTCTTTATAGCTAGAAGAATTGGATCTCTTTTTAATTTCATTAGAATAATAGGTGAAATCTTCATCAATATCTTTGTTAATTTCATTCTAGTGAATAAGACAACTATTTTACCATGAGAAAAATCAGTTCTGAAGCTTTATTATCAGAAGGATTGTCACTCCTTTTGAGAATATTTGCTTTGAAAATATCATACGATATTTTATTTATTTATGAGATCATCAATCTCTTTATGGTTTGCTTTGTTCTTAAAAATTTCTAACTCTTTGTATCTAAGAAATATTAGCAATTATTTACCGTTTGCTACATGACTTATTTGAACCTTGGATCTCTGCTAGAGAGGATACTGTATAATTTTTGAACAGTTACAGTTTCTATTTTCTTTTCTAATTCATTGCTAGATAAAATTTTGCTATTTGAGCCTTTTCTTGTCAATAGAAGCTATTTTTAATGATAAAGATTACTGTCAGGACTATAACAGTCGTCTATTTCGATAGACTGGTCTATATTCAAATTAAATCATAATTAACGTACCTGATGGGTATTGTGACTCCAAACTATGCTCATCATTAAATGTAACATCCTTAGAAAGAGAACTGTTAAGGAAATTTGAAATAAATGGACTCTTGGAATCTTCACTTGACTCATTATGCAAAGGTAATTTATTTCAGTTTTATGTTATGGCTATGCTTATATTCGTTCTTTGTATCAATGAAAGCATCGAGATTGCTTCTTAGAACTTTGTTCTGATCAAAGGAATCAATTCTGCTTTTGAAAGCAGTCTGATTTTGCATACCTACAAATAAACTGTTAATAAAGACTATTTCTGATTATAAGTTAAAGTTCGATAAATTTTATAAAAATAGAATACTTTTCAAGTCAACTTCTTGCTGTGTAGGTAGCCTAGAGGAAAAGTCTTTTTGAATTATCTTTCCTTTTCTAAGAAAGATCTTCTTTTGGCCACCAAGATCTTCATCAAACATCTTGAACTTCGGTTTTTTGTAGATGGACTTATGTTTTCGTGATTTAAGATAAAAGTTATTTCTAACTTTATTTCAATCCCTTATTTTCACTTTTCATCGGCAAAACTTATTTTATGAAAATTGCCGAGTATTTCATTATTAAGTCCTAAAAGACTGTTTAAAGTATCTGATCTTTGCTTCTTTATGTTAATTCTATGCATTAAAAGAGAGATACCTGGAGTCTGAATTTTTGCTAAGAATCATTTTGATGAATATTAATTATATAAATTCGTTATTTTTCTGTTAGGGGTTTTGGGGTTTTGGGGTTTTGGGG